TCCCCTGGAACTGGAGTTATGGACAGTTGTTAGTCACCATGTGGGTGCTAGGAACTGAACCCAGGTCCTCTGTGAAAGCAGCCAGTGCTCTTAATCATGAAGCCATTTCTCCAGCCTTGCAAAGGAGTATTTTAATTTTTTTGGTCTTTTTGAGACAGGGTCTCCCTGTAGCTCCAGCTGGCCTGAAACTTGCTATGTAGACCAGGCTGACCTTGAATGCACAGAGATCTGCCAGCCTCTGCCTGGGTGCTAGGATTAAAGGCATGTGTCACCATGCCCAGCCCACAAAGGAGTATTTTAAAGTACACTGAAGAACTTTTCAGAGAGTTTACAAATGCCACTGAAGAGACAAGATACAGATATAAGTAAAACAATATACAAAGGCACACACAAAAGACTGCCCCCACTATCATGCCCCACTTCAGCTACCCCTCATCTCTGACTAAGGATATTGCAGCAGAAATTTAATCTCCTGCTTTGGGCTTCTCTGATACTCTGAGTACTCCTCTAAAGGCTGCCAGAAACAGATCTCTAAAATGCAAGCCTGATCATGGGATTTCTCTGCTTAAAGCACTTCAGTAACTGCCTCCTACCTCCAGTCTAGTCTCTTTAGAATCACATAGAAGACTCCCCATGAACTAGTTCCCAGTGCCATTTTGGCAACCACTTCATGCCAGCTTGCCAAATCAGTCACCACCAGACACAATGCTGCTCCAAATTCTACCTTTAAGCATGCTGTTCCCTTTGCATGAAAAGCCCCTATTTTCTATATCATTCAATGAAATTCCATTTTTCGTTCACCTCTTTAATGAATTTTTTTTCCTACACTTTCCAGATGAAACACTTGACTTTCTTCTCAGTACCACTGGACATTATCCATCGTTCTGTGTTTTCATGCTCCACTGCATTTAAAAAAAAAATTTCATTCATGCTGGGCATGGTGGTGCATGCCTTTAATCCCAGCACTCAGGAGGCAGAGGCAGGCAGATTTTTTGTGAGTTCCAGCCCAGCTGATCTACATAGTGAGTTCTAGGTCAGCTGGGGCTACAAGGAAACCCTGTCTCAAAAAGACCAAAAAAAAAAAAATTCATTTATTATTTTTATTTTATGTGTATGAGTGTATTGCCTGCATGTACGTAAGTGCACCTGTGTTGTGCAATGTCCATAGAGATCAGAAGAGGGTATCAGACCTGCTGGAACTGGAGTTATGGATGGTTGTTAGGGATCATGTGGGTGCTGGGAATTGAACCTGGGTCTTCCACAAGAGTAGCTAGTGCTTTTAACTGCTGAGCCATATCTCCAGCCCTTCCATTGCATTTTAGAAGTATGAGTTTACTGACCAGTTTCCCTACCAGACTCATAGCTCCATTAGGGGAAGATGGTGTTTTGTTGATCATGGTGTGATTCTGTGTCTGTGTAATCACTGGGTCTCTCAAGGCAAAATCAGGTTAAACAGATAAATACAAACAACTACTGAGACCATGTGGAGATTAGGACTTAAAGTCATGACCAGGGAGACTAGAAACATAAATAAAGTCATTTATTGAGCACTTACTCTATCTCAGGAACTTATTGGAGGCTTTATAACACTCATCTCCTTTGTTACAACCACCTCATGAATAGTTATTAGTGTTCACACTGCAAGATGAGAAAACTAATAACAGATAAATTAAAAAACTTGTCCAAGAGCAATACGGAAAGAAGACAGAGCTGATTCAAATCTAGATCTGACAAGACACTGGTAAAGCTGATGAATGAGAACAGGAATTATGTTCCTATTGACTGTGGAGTGAGGAACAGAATGTCTACCAAACTGTAAAAGGAAAGTATGCTGCAGTCACTGCAAAATCATATATCACTATGCTCTGGCACCTCAGAAGAGTAAATCAGAAAGACTCTGAAAAGAAATAAAGAGGGTGGAAAATGCATGCAGGCAGTTGAACACTGTATAAAGGACCAAGGCAGAGCTGTGGCAAGTGCTTAGGTGGCCAGATAAGGATGAGTAGGGCCATGTGGATAAAGGCTTTGAAACCAACAGTTCCTGCTTGCAATTATGTCATGAGGAAAATAACCCTTAAAGTAAAAAATTATAATTGAAGAGAAAACAATATTTTTTTTAAATGGGCAGGAGAGGAGGGAGAAATGCAAGAGAAGACCTTCACCTTCAAGATTCTCCTTTCCCCAACATAAACAGGTCTAGCTGAAACACTACCATCTCAAGTGACCACCACATGATCATATTTCCCATTAGTGTTAGTTTTTTCATCTTTCTCACAGATCTAAATGAAACTGTAAACTCCTTAGTGTCATCTGCAGTGTTAGAGAACTCAGTGTAAAAGATTAATGTTGAGCACCTGTGATGTTGAAAATGTTAATAATACTGTGATTGAGTAGCCAGTATTCACTGTCGGTTGAACATAGACTGGGTACTGTTAGAAAGGCTGGCCCATGGGGCTGGAGAGATAGCTCAGAGATTAAGAACACTGGTTGTTCTTGCAGAAGACCTGGGTTCAAGTCCCAGCACCCACATGGCAGCTAAAAACTGTCTGTAACTCCAGTCCCAGGGGATCCAACAGCCTCTTCTGACCTCCGCCGGCATTGCACGACACTGGTGCACTTATCCACATGCAGGCAATATATACATACACATAAAATAAAAATAATAAATAATAAAAAATTTTAAAAAAGGGCTGGCCCAGATTCAAGGTTTGGTTTGATTTGGTTTGTTATGTTTGTGGTGCTGGGGCTGGAACCCAGAACCTTGTGCATGCTAGGCAGACATGCTGCCACTAAGCTCTATTTCCAGATGTTTTTGTGTATTTTATTTTGAGACAAGTTCCCACTAAATTGTCCAGATTGACCATGAACTCACTCTGTAATCCAGGCTTGAACTTGAGGTCTTTCTGCCACGTCCTGCCAAGTAGCTAGCCCAACAGGCCTATGCTGCCAGGCCTAGCTTGTTTTTTGAGACAGGGTCTTACTATGTTGACCAGGCTGGCCTTGAACTCACAGAGATCTGCCTCTGCCTCCCAAGTGCTAAGATTAAAGGTGTGTGCCATCATGCCCAGCTCTGCCCCTCTTTTCCTTTTCCCTTTCCTCCCTCTCCCTCCCTTCCTTTCTTTCAACACTGTCTCAGGTAGCACAGGTTGACCTAGAACTACACAGCTGAGAATAATCTTGAACTGAATTTCCTTCCTCCACTTTCAAATACTTGGATTACAGATGTGTCACCATAACCAGTTTAAGAGAATATAATTTTAATACAAGAAGTTGTTACCACTAGTTAGTCAGAAGAGTAGCCTCAAAAACACAGCAGTAAGCTGGGCATTGTGGTGTCAAGGCAGGTGGATTTCTGTGAGTCTGAGGTCAGCCTGGTTTATAAAGGGAATTCCAGGCCGGCTGGGGTTACAGGGAGATTGTCTAAACAAAACAAAAACACAAAATAAGTGCAAAGTAACAGCAATAGCATGGGATTAAATACAAATACAAGGGATACAAAGGAAAACATTTGAACCATTTTCAAATAAGTTCTTATGTGCAGTCCCACCCACACAGGTTATTCAAAGGTATTTATACCAAGTACTAAAATTACTAAGTACTAAAATACTAAATGCTGCCAGTGTCAACAATGGTCCAGGCTACCCTCAAGGAGTGTGAAGCTAAAGTTCTTTGGACCTTTTAACACTTCAGAGTTTTCTGTTTAGCATATCAATCAGGTGTTTGTATTCTCTTACTTGTTCTTTAAGCCCCACTCCAGGGGAAAATCCTCAGGTTAGGGGCTGAAATTCAGATAAGAGCCTGAGAGGCTCAGCCAGCAAGCCTAGCCACCTGAGTTTGATCCCAGAAACCCACATAAATTAGGTGGAAGGAGATAACGAAGAAACCCTCCATAAAGTTGTTCTCTGACCTGTGTGTCTACACGCACACACCTACTCAACCACCCACCCCCATATACAGATAAATATTTAAAAACAATAAATTTGGTAACTGAGCTAGCCTTGATGTCGCAGTCACTCTTGGCCAAACCTTGGGTCTCTCAAGCTACAGAAGTTAAAGCCTCAAGGCCTGCTTTTCAGCTTTTCTTTTCTTATGGCTCTCTTCCTGTCTTAACCGCTCCTACGTAGGCCTTCCCGTTATTATTTAAATATCCATTTCTTTTTGGACTGCAGTGTCTTTTAAAAATACAGCTTCTTCCTCCACACACCCCAATTCTTCACTAATGCATCCAGAGGTTCCATGGGCTAAGCCGGGTAGTACAACACTTCTCCGACTGTAGAACCGAGTCCTCATATTCAAGTCACCCCCTCGCGCCCTCCCCGGCCACTCAGTGCTCTCAAACCCAAACATAGTATGGGCAGTGGGCGCTCCACCACATAACTGCATCGGGAATTCTTTGGCCCTACAGCTTTCGGAGAATGGCTCTGAATCATCCTGCAACGTGAACGACTAACTTACTCCCGGTTTGCTTAGGGCAAGGGCAATGTCTCCTCTACCAGACAGGCCACTTCACGACGGAAACAACCCTGTTGCTCCTTTATTAAAGCCCCTCATTCGCCCGGCTTTGGAACACGGGCTGCCTCTTGCAATAATTTTATGTGCAAAATATCTCTTCCCAACTTTATGTGATGAACGGAAACGTCCTTTAGCCAATTAGGGAACGAAAGGGTTAAATCTGGACAACCTGATGGATTCTGGGGTTTGTCCTTCCTGGACTCCAGAAATTCAAAACGACCAGGAAGGGAGATTTTGCCCAAGGTAAAGATGAAATCTGTTAACTTCAACTGTCGGGCTTCAGCCCCAAACAAACATGGCTACTCACGCCCAAAAAGGGCTCCACACACCTAACTAAAAATGACGAACCCAGAGTTTCGCTATTAGTGCCACTTCCTGCCCAACTCCAAAATGGCTCTCACTAGCCTCACTAAAAGTTGCGAACTTCCCAGCATCCTTTCTGGCCTTAACGTCAGATGACGCAAGCCTCAGCCGGAAGTAAAGGAAAAAGCGCTTCAGCCCGCGGCGCCTGCGCAGAAGACTCTAGACGCTGAGAGGCAGGAGGCAGTTGGGATCGTCCGCAGGATTTGGAACTGCAACAGAGGCCGCCACGGAGCCCGCCGGAGCCACCGTTTCTGCTGCTGCTGCCGCCGCCCGAGTCGGAACCGTCGGGCTGCAGCCGCCGGCAATGCCGCGAAGGAAGGTGAGAAATGGCAGAGAAGGGATGGCGGATGTCTAAGGAGAGTCGATAGAGCAATGTGACGCAGTTGGTCACTCCTTGCAGTGGTCGGGTTCAACTTCCAGTTCCCCCAAACCTAGCTCAAACATTCTGTCTACTCTTAGTACCCGAGAGAAAAATGTGGGCCCGACCCTGGCCTCGGCCTATGCTTGTAACTATTCCCGCCCTCTGCTTGCCCCGATCGGAGGCGTTCTTCTTGTTCATTGGTCGCTGAGACGCCTCGAAGCGTATTGATTGGTTGCTGACGCCGCCTATTTGGGCCCAACGGTCACCTCCCCGCGTGCGGGGGCGGTGTCTGGGCCTGGCACCGGAGCTCGGCGACTGGCTGGGGAGAATGATCTTTCTTCTCCTGATTGGTGCAGCTTCGCAGTCTGCTATGGTCGGGGGTGCGGTTTAGCAAGCCTTCAATTGGGTCGCCGAGTCCCCGCCCTTCCGGATGGAGATGGTGATAGGTGCAAAGGCGAGTTTGGGACACTGCGTTCCTTTCCTGGTGGGGGGCACAATAAAGCAGAGGCCTGGGTGCTGGAAAACCGGAGCCCACTCCCGAGAGATATACCTCGGAGGCGGGTTGCTTCTCAGCCATGGTCTTCACTTACTTGCTTAGTTTGACATTGAGTAGGAAGTGCAGTTTTGAAAAAAACAAACTTGCTGGAATTGGGAACGTCTTTTGAATTTGGGTGCCTTGTATGCCAAGGCCAGAGCAGGACTCCTGCTGCCTCCCTCTATCCCTCTCCACCTTATTGCCTTGAGGCAGGGTCTCTCACTGCTAGGGTTTCAGGTACACCCAGCCATGCCCGGCTTTTTTTTTTTTTTAAATGTGGATGCTGGGAATTCGAACTGAGGTCCTTGTGTTTGTTGCAGAGCAAGTGTTCTTGCTCACTAAATCATCTCCCAGCTCCAATCTTTCTCATTTCATTTTGCAACTGAGCATATGGGGAACAACAGGAGTGCCTCTGAGCCACTAGTCAGGCAAGGGCAAGCCAGAACTGTAGAACAAATGTAATGCAGTTCAGCAGTTGCTTCCTGACCTCCTGCTACATGACAGATGCTAGGGATTCAAAGATGAATTAGAGCTGGGTGTGATGCTGCACACTTTTAATCCTAGCATTCTAGAGGGAGAGGCAGAGGCAAGCAGATTTCGGAGAACCACACCAGCCTGGTCTACATAGTGAGTTCCAGGCCTGCTGGGGCGACAGGGACACCTTGTCTCAAGAAACTACCCCCCCCCCAAAAAAAAACCAAAATTAATTTGATGTGATTCCTGGCTTAAGGATATCACATTTGGGTGGGGAAAACAGACATATAAGTAACCACAAAAGGATGTAGTGCATTCTCTGCTTGGAGATAATACACCATATAGGAAGTAAGTGAGGAAGTGGTGGTGAGAGGCAGAAGAGCTGACTTTCAAGATCAAGTTGGAAGGAGTTGGTATGGGGCACTGGACTCACATATCTGGGTAATTGGATGAGGTCACCTTAAAGATTGCCTTTCATTCTAGTGATTTTCTGTGACTCTGGGGGATCTCTACTTATTTATGGGCAGATTACCCATGAAATATTTGAATAGCTGGTTGGTATTCTGCAGACTCTTGCAGAAATCTTTCTTCATAGAAAATTTTCAAGTTAAATATTTAATGTCTCCTAAAATTACCTGAGTTGATAGGTTGTATTTAAGTTAAGGTACATCAAATGTAGGAAAAATGCTGATGTGTTGGAATACGTCCAGTCTCCTTTTGGCCATCCCCAAATACCATGAGTTCTTGAAAATGTAAGTTTTTGCTGGATGTAGGTAGGAGGATTGCCATGAGCTCAAGGTCAGCCTGGGCTATATTGTGAATTCCAGGTCAGCCTGAGTTTAAGACTGTGTTTCAGAAACAGCTAAAAGCCTTCCCCCAAATGTAAGTACTATAGTAACTTATTTGGTGACAAACCTTTCCTAAACTATCCTTAGGCTACTTACATTTTTTTTGTGTCTCATTTTGTGTGATTGTATTTTGCTATAGAGATCTTAATGTGTTCAGTATATGGTGTGTTATTTGCAGGGTATGTATATTTTCTTTCTAAAAATCTAAGGAATTAGTTGGACGTGGTGGCGCATGCCTTTAGTCCCAGCAGTCAGGAGGCAGAGGCAGTTGGATCTCTGTGAGTTCAAGGCCAGCGTGGTCTACTTAGTGAGTTCAGGTCAGCTGGGACTACAGGGAGACCCTGCTCAAAAAGACAAAAAAAAAAAAAAAAAATCTAATGAATTATTAATTCCGAACTTACCTGGCCCTAGGCACCTTATTCTTTTGATATAGAAGTGGGCCTTGGGGCTAGGGTATAGCTCAGTATTTTGTAGTTTGTGCACTTGAAGCCCTAGGCTTAATCCCCAGCACATTCCATCCTCTCTTCCCCTTGTCCCCAAATTGGGACTTAAGTTTGAAGTTTTATAGTAATTTTAGCAAATATTGTTTTCTTCTGGCTTAGAAAAGGGCTTGATGTAAATGCTCTACAGATAAAAGTAAACTTTATTGCTAATCAGTCCTCAGGAGACTTAACTGGCAATTTTTTAAAATTTTATTTTATTTTATAAATAAGTAAATAAAACCTGCATGTAGGTAAGTGCACTCTATATATATATAGAGAGAGAGAGAGAGAGAGAGAGAGAGAGAGAGAATTGCCTACATGTTAGTGCACCCGTGTTTATGCACTGCCCATGGAGGTCAGAAGAGGGCATCAAATCCCCTGGAACTGAGTTATGGATTCTTGTTAGCTGACATATGGGTGCAGAGAACAGAACCCAGGTCCTCTGTAAGAGCAGACAGTACTCTTAACCACTGAGCTATCTCTCCAACTCCTTAATTGGCAATTATTGATTGGGATAGGATGTGGGTTTTTGAAAACCTGACTTTGAAGACCCAGTGTCTTTAAGTATAAACTTCCCTTTCCAGCAGTTTTGACATTCTTATCAAGAAACTGCAAGGACAGATGGCATGGGACAGAAGAATTTTTTCTTTTTTCTGCTTAATTAGTTTGGGAATTAGAATTACCATAATATTTGAAATATATATATTTTATGTGATGCTTGCTGATTGGAACTTTGAACAGAATTTACCCTGAAGTTAAATGGGCCTAGCATTAACATTTTTGCACTATTGTATGCTTCCCCTACCTTAACATGGTTGTGGTAGCCAGACCTTTTTTTTTTTTTTTGTTCTTTTATATTTTATGTGCTGATTGGAACTTTGAACAGAATTTACCCTGAAGTTAAATGGGCCTAGCATTAACATTTTTGCACTATTGTATGCTTCCCCTACCTTAACATGGTTGTGGTAGCCAGACCTTTTTTTTTTTTTTTGGTCTTTTTGAGATTTGAGACCCTTGTAGCCCCAGCTGTCCTGGAACTCACTATGTAGACCAGGCTGGCCTCAAACTCACAAAGATCCACCTGCCTCTGCTTCCCAAGTG